GCACTAGAGCTAGAAGGTGAAGATGGAGTAGATGAAATGAACGATAGAATAACGACCACCATCCTAGAATGTGCATCAGAAGTCGCACCGGCCAGTAAAATGAAGGACTCAAAGCTCTCAACAGAAATGAGGATTCTCATGAAGAAAAGACGGATGATGAAAAAAACGGATGTAAACAACGACAGGGACATCAGAAACAACATCGAATATGCAGAACTGGATAAGACCATCAAGAAGAAGGCAAGGGAAGACATCAGGAAGCAGAACATGAAGAAGATAGCAGAGACCATCGAAAATGGAAAGAGCATGAAAAGAGCAAAGAGATCCTTTCAACTAGGGCAGGATAGAATGCTGACTCTTCTAGACAAAGATGAAAATGAGCTAACCACACAAGACCAAATATTAGAACGAGTAGAAGAATTCTATGGAGAGTTGTATGACAGCAACAAGGGAATAGAAATCTCAACAAAGGCATGCGATCTACCAGACATAACAGCTTGGGAAGTAAAGTCAGCAGTCCAGAAAATGAAGAACGGAAAGGCAGCAGGAAATGACAACATCAAAGCAGAAATGGTAAAAGCAGGAGGAGATATCCTATCTCAGGAATTAGCCAGGCTCTTCACAAAGTGCTTACATCTGAAGGAAATTCCTGTAGCATGGAAGAACGCCAACATGATCATAATGTTCAAAAAGGGCAATAGGAAAGACATCAAGAATTACAGACCCATCTGCCTACTTTCTAATTTGTACAAGATTTACACCAAAATATTGACCGAAAGGCTAACAAGACAACTAGATGAAGCGCAGCCAAAGGAACAAGCAGGTTTCAGAGGCCAGTACACCACTACTGATCATATGCACACTGTCAACCAGCTCAAAGAGAAATGTCTCGAGTATAACATTCCACTATGTGTAACATTCGTTGATTATGAAAAAGCCTTCGACTCAGTAGAAACCCAGTATATACTGGTATCCCTGCAAGATCTAGGGATCGAAGATGGATACGTAGACGTCCTCAGAGACATTTACACCGATAGCTCTGTAACAGTCAAACTACACAAGACCACCAATAAGATTAGGATCAAGAAAGGTGTACGCCAAGGAGATACAATCTCTCCTAAACTGTTCACAGCAGCATTGGAACGTATATTAAGGGAGCTAGACTGGCAGGACAAGGGCATAAACATAGACGGTACCAGGCTCAATCACCTTAGGTTTGCAGACGACATCATAATAGTAGCAGATGATGCAAAAGACCTAGAAGAAATGCTACAGGCATTAGCAGATGAAAGCGCAAAAAGCGGGCTAAAGATGAACACCAGCAAGACAAAGGTGATGTTTGGACCACTAACCACCCCTTGCACAGTGAAAGTCAACACCAAAGAGATAGAAGCAGTGGAAGAGTATATATTTACCTTGGGCAACGGTTCAGCCTTAGTGATCGAACACTGGAGAAAGAAATCCAACGAAGGATAAAAGCAGGATGGGCAGCATATGGGAAGCACAATGACATCATCAAGAGCAACCTTCCTACCTGCCTGAAAAAGAAAGTGTCCAATGCTTGTGTGCTGCCGGCAATCACCTATGGTTCAGAGACCTGGGCACTGAATGCCTCCATGGAACACAAGCTACAAGTAGCTCAGAGAAAGATGGAAAGAATTATGTTGAACATCAATCCAAGAGAGCGGAAATTGAATGCATGGTTACGTGAACAGACCAGAGTTAAGGACGTACTGCTCACAGTTAAAGAAATGAAATGGAGGTGGGCAGGACATGTCAAAAGAATGAAGGACAATAGGTGGACAATCAGGCTTACAGAATGGACCCCAGGTATGGACAAAGAAAAAGAGGAAGGCCGGTCAAACGATAGAGGGATGAATTAGATGACTACTGGAAGTCTTGGAAGAAGAAACCTTGGCCAAACTGGAAATCTGAGGCTCAGGATAGGAAACAATGGAAAAAGCATGCTGAGGCTTTTGTCCAACAGTGGAACACTATAGGCTCTAAATGATGATGATGATGATGAATATATTTGCCATGTATTGTTCCTTTTTGAAAATGCTATTCGCTGTTTTTTCCTTATTCCTCATTCATTATCGTTCATGTTTTATAAATACTTGAATCAGTAAGTTTATAAATAAATTATCCATTTATGAATTAATGCAATAATAATTTTTTGAGGTTGATGCTGACGCTCATGCATGTAAATTAAACAAACAATACTTAGTTCAATTTTTGACTACGGAAAATTCATATTGAATAAAATACCTGATAACAAATTTAACTAGCAGTTTGTTAGCAATACTAAATAGATAATCAGCTGCGTGTGCCAAACTAATGAACAAAAGGACGGTTCGCTACGGGAGACGGTTTAGTGGCACGCGGTAGCATGGGTTCAAGCCTCTTACAGCTATACTCCTATCGCCACAACAAACAATGGGGATTTTTCTTTAGGGACTTTTAATTAGGCCACATTTGGAGTAAATATGAAATTATACTTGAAACATCTAAGTGAAATCTATCTTGACGTCCTGACAGATGTGTTTAGATAAACGTTTATGTACGAACGTTGCTTAGTACTGTATAGCAAATGCACATCTCCCGTCTCGACACAATGAAGAGATAACTTTGAGGGAAATTGTCAAGACTCTTTCTTCTATCATACCGGTATTTATGTCTCCTTGATCTAAGTTGAAGTAAGAATTAGGATATGTCCGCGTTAGTAATGTAACAGACACAAGTGTGATGTTTGAAATTTGGCCGGTGATGGCCGCTTTTATTGGAAGTCGCATTAATAAAAAGAAATAAAGCGTATTACTGATAAACATTGATAATGTTGATAGATGATATAAACTTAGTGTGCGCCAGAAGTATCAACATTTAAATTATAATTCCAGACAAGTAGTGCACACATTTCAAATTGTGGGGTTGCAAAGAGGCCAACCGTAAGCCAAAACTGAGTAAGCCAAAAAATTTTTGTACTGATTCGGGGTTCCAAAGTCTTTCGCCGTGCGGTCGTGCCTACCTTGGTCGAGGTAAGATTGGAGCCTGTGTACAAAAGAATGCCCAATGACAAGAACAGCCATGCTACTATAATTCGCAAAATCAATAACTCAAATAAAGAAAAAACTTACTTGTAGCAAATTGGAGTTCTGTTCGTGGGAAAGTCGGAGATGCGTCGATCTATCAGCAGGTTCGCCAAAAGTCCCGACTTGAAATATCTGTGAATCCGTAACTGGTAATACAATCAAAATTGAAGATGGCGAACGTAAAATTATTCTGACAGTGGCATACACTATAGAACCTTGTATAAAGCAGAGTGGGAAGGAATAGTAACGCTCATTTGGTTAAACGCTGAGGCGCGAACCTAAGTGAAATCCCCGTCCGTGATTGGACAGGGTGTCTGATCAAAAGATGCAGCGTTGAATCCGAGGCTTATGCAAATTTTCGGCAAGTTATGCCATAATAAACGTCCGTGATTGGACAGGGAGTCTGATCGCGATAGATGCAGCATTGAATCCGAGGCTAGAGCAAAAATTTTAACAACTTGTGAAGAATCAGACCGTCGCCATAAATAAACGTTTGACTACGCCAAACTTCCCTATTAATTATCGACGGAGACGCACGACCAGAAATTACCTCGTTTCGATGTTTAACGCACTAATGTGGATAAAATTAACCTTTTCAGGTCTATGCCTGACATCACTTAACAAAACTCCAGCATAACATTGATTGCCAAGTGTGGTTGTTTTATGTCGGCGACACCATTTCAACCTTTGTAAAGTGTGACTTACTGCATTTCTTCAGAAATGCGGGCTATAAGCAAGCAAAATGATATATAGTATTTGCCCTTATTATAAATGCATTTGTATTTAAATATTTAGAATAGTGATAAAGTTGTTTTGAGACTGCCTGTTTTTCAAAATGTCCTCAACATTCCTCATATAAAGATGATAGTTGTCGAGAGAATTGTGCGCGATATGTTTCGAGAGGAGAATAAATACGTACGTAATTACATGTATACACAAGTACAGTTAATGTACGCTGCAGGAACAGGAAAATATTTCGGCGTCATTCTTCAGATATCAATTGTACAAGTGAATCCCTTTTTTGATGCTTTTTAAGTTTCAATATAAGTAAATGACTGTCCCACAGACCAGTTGTACA